TCTGCAGCTGGCTGAGGCTGCCTCCATCCCTCAGACAGATCACTGGAGTGTCTGCAGCTGGCTGAGGCTGCCTCCATCCCTCAGACAGATCACTGAGAGAGAGACTGAGCAGTGCTGGGCCCAGCACCGAGCCCTGGGGAACACTGGTGACCATGTCCCAGCTAGATAAACTCCCATTTCCCACCACTCTCTGGGCCTGGCCATCCAGCCAGTTTTTTGATTGGTGAACAGTCTGTGTGTCCAAGCCAGGAGCAGCCCATTTCTCCAGAACACTGTGGGAAGCAGTATCAAAAGGTTTTCTTGAAGTCCAGCTAATTCCACAATTAATTCTGACATTTTGGAAAGTGAGAGGATTTATTTTAATAGCATTTTTTAAAAGCTGAAGGTTTACATAAGTATTTTTAGATGGGTACTGTCAAGAAAGAAGTCTTATTGCATATGTGGTTGAAATTGAAGATTCACGAAATCACTTGGATTTTATACATCATTTACAGAACTATGCTTTGTACTTGTGTTCTTTCCACATTTAATACATCTTTGGACAAGTTTCTTTTCAGGCTTCTAGTCTTGATCCTCTTCACTGTCTGACTCATATTTTAAGCAGAAGGCCACAGCATCTGGTCAATATTCAATTTTCACAAATATCATTTAAATTAAAAAGTAATGCATTAATTGAAACTAAATTTAATTAAAAGTTGATAATTTTGTTGTATAATGATATGAAAATATTGCTTTATAAGGAATATTTTTATGTAGACTTACAGCACTTGTAGTGCTGCAAAATAATGCTTTAATCAAAATAGGATTGAGTAAAACATTTGGCCTTTTGAGAGATGCAGTCTGCAGACTATTTTATCTTTTCTGCAAGAAAAATTTGGGTGTGGAGGGATGGTTGCTTCACTAGGGGAAGGGAAATTCCAGGGAGACAATGAATAATGTCAGGCTTTCAGCCAGAGTGTTGCTTGTTGAAAAGCCAATACAAAACTTTCTAAAACTATTTCTAGGCATTTCTTTCTAAAAAAGAGAACTTTCAAGCTTCTGTGGTTTGCATTCTGCCATTGGAAATAGAAGGATCTGTGCCATCAGGAATACTCCATGCTCTCACAGTAGGACTTGGAGTGGGAGCCAGACACCTACCAGATGGTGTTGGTGCCTGTTCTCTTCCCTGCCAGATGAGCTGCTGCTGCCTCAGGGGCTGCCACAGTTACCTACGTCAGGTTCATGCAGTGTGTGGTGTAGCTGAGTGCTCCCCTTGCCTTCCTCAGAGGAGTTCCTGTATTTCTGAGAATGTGCCTGTATGGTTCCACTCCATTTGCTTGGTGTATTTTGTGTACACATCAGTCTCTTTCTTACTTCTGTGGGGGTTTTGTACACTTGGTCACTTGGTTAACTTTGAGGGTTGGGGCGCTTTTGTTTTGTTTGTTGTTTTGTTTTGTTTTTTTTTTTTTTTACAGTAAATCATAATTCCAGTTAGAGCTTTTTTTGGAAGTATATAATGTCAGAAGGGTCATGCAGGTAACATAATGGGAATTGTGTGTTCAGATTTTGTCTAAAGTGAGCTTGTGTTCATCATTTCAGCTAACTTGCCTGTCAATAAAGAGTTGGAAATTAATATTTCCTATTCTGGATGAGTTTGTTTTCATCTCATAAGGGTAGGGTGAATGGACTGAAATTAGAGGGTCTTCTGTTCAGAAATTACTGAAACAGAAACTGCCTCAGTTGCACAGAGCAAGGCTCCTGTCAGCCAGCTGAGCACACATCAGTGACAGCTCAGCCAGCCTCATGGGGAAGATGAGCTGCAGCTCAGCTTTGGTTTTTGTGGGTGACTGGTGGTGGGAGAGACCCTCGAGAAGCAGAGATGAATAAAGGGGGGTTAGCCTGGAGCAACTTTAAATAGAAACTGGTTGGTGGTATTTTATCAAAGATAAAAGTATCATACATTATTTCACTATTAGAAACCTATGGGTAAATAACTTTTACTTCAGATACATGCCTGCATTTTCATTCTGCTTCTTTAAAGGAGACAAGTTTCCAGTCATTCTCTATGTGTATAAACCCAAGGTCACTGGTAGTGTATATTCAATACTTGGCAAAACTCCTGAAATGAGTTATTGCACACATAAATAAGGTACTGTTCTTTCCCAGATTAAGAAATAACTGCCGATATTATTGTGCCTAAGCTGGGAATTCACCTCATCCCCTTTCTCAGTCTAACTTTCTTAGATTGCAAAATTGTGGAATGTTTGTTGGACACAGTTTGCATTCATAGATATTTACAGTTGCAGGGCAGTGTTGGCTGCAGTTCATTTCTGTGAGCCAAGGGCCATGACCTGGAGCTCAGGACAGGAGGATACAGGAAAGCAGGCTCAGGCTGTTCCCTGCTGGAGCCCCAAGCTGCAGCTTTGGCACAGCTCCAGCATTGTCACTGCTGCTGTCGTCCTTGCTGGACACCAGGGGATGCACTCAGATGTTCTAAAGAATTGTTCTAAGAGAACAACTCTAAAGATATGTTCTAAAGCACCTGCTTTCTTGCAATTATTCTTGTGTTTTGCAGAAATATTGGTGTGGAGAGAATGTGAAACAGTGTAAGACTCAAAATATCTTCTATGGTCCACAGTGTGTGAGCTCTTGTAGGGAAAAATTCCTTAGGTCAGTTTTGAAGGCAATGCTTTGTTCTAAGTCCCTGGGCAAAGTGGATGCTTGTACCCCAGCTTACACGAGTCATTTGCCTTGTTTTTCAAAAACCAAAAAGGTGACAGACAAGGCTGCTTGCAGCCAGCAGAGAAGGCACTTGAGCTGCCATGTTCTGCAAGGATGTAGGTACCAGAATGGAAACAGGGTTGCAGCAGAACACAACGCTCCAGTCCCTGCAGTAGCTGAGCTCTTACACTGTGAAGTATTGGGTTCAGGAGTGCCAGGGGACAAAAATCTGTGTCTGCTCCCTGCTTTTGCTTTGTCCATTGGTTTAGGGTTTAGATTCTTGTTGCAAATTGTTCCATTATGAGATACATCACACTACAGAGTGTCTGTCCTGCTGCTGCAGGTTATGGAAAATGTCTCCTCTCCTCTAAAGCTAATTTTTTTTAAGTCCGGTGATGCCCAAGGAAGGCATTGTCACCACTTTATTAGCTTTGCTGCACCTCTTTCAACTCATGCTCTGCCCTGCAGCTCCAGGAGTGAATTGTTTACAGTAGCAGAATTGTGACTGGAGCAGCTACCCTTAACTCTTCTGCAGGGAACCTGAAGTGCTCTCCTACTTGCCAAATCATCTACAAGGCCACACAATGGGGACACTTCTTGCACACTCACTCTCCAGTGCAACTGCACTCAACCCAGGAGTTT